GAGAGAGAGAGAGAGAGAGAGAGAGAGAGAGAGAGAGAGAGCAGGATGTACTGGTCATTTTCAATTTCCCATTTAATTGTGCTATGAATATTGAAAAAGGAACTGAGGCCAAATCAACAGTCAACACTGGAATTATTAGGTCTGCTATCTATGAGAACAAGAATATACTGTGTCAGGCACATTGTTGAATTTAGACAGCTTTAGCTGGTAAAGGTGGCTTCCAGACCCACCACCCTCCTAATGGACTATGTTATTCTCCTCTTCAGATAGAGTACCTGTAAGAAAAAGGCAGAAAACTGCATTTTACAAGAAGAGGGGACAACTCTAAAATGGTGCTGTAATGAAATTGAGTTGTTAATTCATATGATGGAAACAAAAGTGATCTGCAAAAGTAATTACTTGTTGGCATCATTGCCCATAAAAATAATGAACAAGGAAAATAGCACCGTGACCCAGTAGACTGAAAGTACAGCCAGATAGACAGTATACTGTCTATACTGAAAGTATAGACAGATATGCAAAGCAATTCTGATAACTTTAAAAACCTAGGTAGCACTTGAGAGATTACACACACAGCAACTCTGTTAGCTCAGGCTTCTATGGAAATACATCCCAGCCTTGGTGGATCAAACAATAGGAATTCATTTCTCATTGTTCGGGGAAACTGGAACTTTCAGATCAAGATGCCCTGGGGACAATGATGTATGATAGATTGGTCCTTGAGTTGCAGAAAGCTGTTTACTCCCTGTGTCCTAACATCATGCTTGTTTGGTGCATGAGGGTGGAAAAAGAGGCAGAAATCACTATCAATTCTCACCAACATCAGAACCCACTCCTCATTACCCATTGAAATAATTACCCCTAAAGACTCAATCTCCAAACACTATGGAATTAGGGCATGTGATTTAAGTATATGCATTTGAAAGAGGATACAGTTGAATCTGTCACACACTAAATCTGAAAATTGAGGAAGAGACCCATAGTCATAATTTCTACTGTTATATTATATTGTCACTGTGGCTCCACCATGCTGTCTATCTATTTACATTATGCTAAGGTGCGCTTGAACGAATTTCTTACATACATATGCATGCGTACACATAGTTATACATACTTTCTCCAGAAATTAATCTGTACAATTTTATGTGCTATTTGTCAATAAAAACAACAATACAAAATGAGGCCACTCAGTTGTAATTTTGCTAGAAGTTCACAATGGCTTTTTTCAGCAGCTAAATGAAGGTTACTGTCCACCAGTGAAGACTGGGAGGGGAAAGGGGAGAAGGCCCTGTTTTCCACTTATTGTATCAACCAGCCACTTTGAAACTGACCTTTCTAGAGCTAAGCTTTCAACAACAGTTTTCTGCTTCTAATTCTAGTAATATTTATTAAGTACTGTGTTGGCAGAAGCACAAACTTTAAAGCAATTTAGCAAATCGGGCGCAGATGAGAAATGTCAACAGGGCTCTTCACAAGGCTTCTAAATACACACATCCTGCCTTGGCTATTTAGCCCTGTTAAGCAATTTGGATTCAATGCAAACTCTTAAGAAATATTGATCACAATATGTGTACACAACTAAGGCTCAACACGAGCTGCAACACTATAATTAGTAGGCCTGGGAAATTGGTCTGCCTCTTGGGCAAGACTGGAAATATGTCTGAGGTAACTTTTAACTCCAAGATGCACACTTGCAGCTGTAGATTGTACACAGATGCTGTAGTTTCCTACACTGGCAGAACTGAGTCCACAGAACTGTGTAAGTTAAACGTGTTGTTTTCAAGTACTTATGCCCATTTGTTAGTGATTTGCTTATAAATAATTAGTAAGTTAGTACACCCATACTGAAACATTAAAAATTGTATCATCAAAAAAATGCTCTGATTCTTAAATAGATTATGAACTGCCTTAAAAATCCTCAAATGCTGTGTGGGGTGTGTGAAATAAGATCATCCCAAATAAGGGTTCACTTTGTAGAACCTTTAG